ATGTAAGTCCAAAGTATCCTCGGTTTTGTAGAAGTTCAGGATGAGTTGACCGAAATCTATTCGGTCACGAAACAATACAATAGGAGGCACTGGGTCCTTTCTTTTTACAAAGTTTAAAGGAAAAAAAATAGTGTGTTCAGAAATCCCAGCCATAATTGTATTTAACTGATTGTTTTTAATTTTTATAATAAAAAATGGGCAAAGCTCTTACCCACGTTTTTTCAGTTTGAAATAAAACTCTCCGGGTTAAAGATTGCGACACGTACGTCCAGCCGTAACCTGACCTTCTGGCCTATGGTATTTGCCAAAAAACCCTTTTGAAGGAACAAGTTGCATTCACTAGTAGAAGAGTTATTTTGTAGAAACGACTTTTTATAATTCTCATGTAATGAAAGGGGGATACTTTCAACATGAGAATTATAAAAAGTAGTTTATATTGGTGTATTTTTTGTTATTAAGTTAATTGCACGGAAATTGGTGATCGCCACGTGTGTCCATGTGTGTCGGGTATTATTGAAACATAATAAATCAACATCCTGGTGAATACATACAATGTTGTAGACTTCTACACAATCAAAATAAGTATAAGAAGTGGTATTAAGTGTCGTATAATTATAACGATATAATTAAAGTCTAGTCATAAATGTAAGAATATAAGTATTCTTTTTTCTGTTTTCTTCAAGTTTGTATCTTCTTGGTCGAATGCACTTATTGTAAGTCGCTTTGGATAAAAGCGTCAGCTAAATGCAATGTAATGTAATATACTGACAGATACTTATACTTATTAAACAAACTAACTCTGCTAACAGTGACAGTTGGCCAACTTTATAATCCCCAAACGTCAAAAAGCGCTCTGCTCCCAGCTGTTTCATCACATATCAGTGTCCCCATGGTTTCTGTTGTGTTTTCAGCTTCTTGCAGCGTTTTGTATTTACAGAAATGTGTATCCAGGGTTTTATGTATGCAGTGGTTTAGTAAACCCTGCTCATGGGTTGTCTAGTTAGTGAGGATGTTTCTTTATTTGCATGTGTCTTTGCCCATTTGTGTTTTTATAATTGCATCATATCTGAGGCTGCAGCACAGTTAGGCCTAACTACAAATATACTGAAACCGGCATCCGATCAGTTCACAAGTCCCTACAGACTGATCTACTGCCGCCCCGATTAAGAATTTGTGAGGATCTGCAGTACTTCCTCCTTCTTTTCCCCCTTCTGTGTTTGTTTTGTCTGTTTGTCTGTGTGTCTGTCTCCCTGGCTGGGCGTGGCTACCTACATTCCGATTCCCGCCAACTCACCTCGTCAGCTGCTGCTCATCTCACTGATTGCCACTACTCGCCTGCACCTGCTTAAAACCCTGGTTCCCATCCTCAGACTTCGCCAGTTCTTCGTTTATTCTTCAGTGGTAAACTATTGTCCAGGCCTACTAGTGTTTTTTCCTAGTGACTTTTTGATGCTCCTAGTGAAGGGAGATCATTTCCTAATCCTGCTTGTTTTTCCTGTTCCAGATCCACATACTCCAGCCGCTCTGCCTGCCACGTCCAGCCTCCCCTCCTGATCAGCCCAGCTCCACGTCTTCCCCCTACGTGTGCTTCCTTAACTCCTTGTCAGTGTCGTGGACAAAATAAAGCCTTTTTGACACTTCACCACAGTCTCAGTTGTAGTGCTTGCATAGCGGGTTCTCATCTTCAGTCACTTCTCGGGAAGCCTAACACTCCAGGTGTTAACCCCACCGCCGGGCCTCATGAAACATCTGCAGCGGCTCCTCGTGGATTTCTTCTGGTCGGGTCATCACTGGGTGCCAGCATCGGTCCTGTACCTACCTGTAGCGGAGGGGGGGGCAGGGCCTTGTGGACATTACTGCGAGGACTGCTGCTTTTAAACAGCAGGCAGCTCAGCCTCAGCGGCTGCTGTATGGTGCCTCTCCCTGCTGGCTGGCTATGGCCCGGCTGTTGCTCTGGAGGGCAGGGGGCTTTGGTTTTGATAAACACCTGTTTCTGCTGAAGGCCCCTGCGTACAAGATAACTGGACTTACACCTTTTTACTGCTCTCCGATTGGCTGGTTTAAACCATTTTTTACAGGAGTGGGTGGAAAGGTTGGGGGAGGTTTTCTCCATACCACTTTTTGTCCATGGCCCCAAATACACCCTGAAAAATAAGGAAACTCTAGTACTGACACATTTCTTGCTTGCTAATGCAAAATTAGCGATCTGGAAAAGTCGGAAAAACCAACTTGCTGGAGTGGGATGGACGGATGCAGTGCTCTGTCTGAGGGGGCTGGTGGCAGCGCGTCTGAGGGTGATTGTATTGCACACAATGAGATGGTGCTTTATTCACAAAACCTATTGAAATACACTAGAGAATATTATGGGAGCTAGAATATGGTGTGTACCGCCTCATTTCCATGGCATGGTACAGCTCAACTTGATTCTACTTGACTTACTTTTGATGCCGGGTACATGCCTCCATTTCGAAAGAATATTGTTCCCCATCAGTGTCGGTGGGAGGCTTAGCTTTGTAAAATGTTTTTTAAATATGGGTAAAGTGAGCTTGGCTAGTAGGTTGGCAATTTAAAAATGGGGGGTTTCGGCACGACACAGGACACGGTGTGGCACCAAGAACATTCCTTGGGACGATTCTCTGATGAATCAGTGCCCTGTAGTGTTTTCAATGTACCTTTGAGTATAGGTTGAGGTTGCTTGGAACCACAAATGAGGTGGTACTAAAAAGAGCACCAGGTACTTCGACCTTTGTCTATGGAAGCAAACCAAATAATGCTGCAGAAAATAGGCATAATATAAGGGTAGTGATGACCCTATTAAACTAAATGAGGCATACAGTATTTAAGCGGCTTGCCAGTTCATTTTACAGGTAGACAAATAGAGCTCAGATATCCTTGACAGCAGGTCACTGCATTTCTTTCTGCCTTAAAAGACTATTATTGACTGTAAGCAAAGCCTAGTATTGATTTGTGGGAACACTTGACAGCCAAAGCACTTGTCTTTTATAAGCTGTGCTTCAATAAAAGTGTAAAAGTAAATATGGACGCACACCAAACTGCATTTCTCCTCTAAAATATCTCCCAATGGCGATAGTTAGTAATTAAAAGAGTAAAATTGCTTTAATTTGAATTGCTTTAATTTGACCTGACAGTGATCCCACTGCTGAGCAGGGAAAAGCATGTACTGTATTCGACAGAACCCTTTCCAACAGAACACTGCTGGGTGTTTAGACTGTTAAACATTGTTTACCAGCTGATGTAAGCCAGTTGTTCTGAAGGTTGAGGGTCTCGAGCTGATGCAGATGGGAGATGTGCTCCACTGTTATCTCCTTGATTTTGTTGTTCTGGCATCAGGGGACAAAACACAGAGAGTTCATACAAAGGCAGCCAGATTGCTTTAGCCTACATGATTTCTGAGCAGAATTACAAAATGTTGATTTAATTAACTGTATGTGTACGCAGTCTACAGACCTGCAGAGAGAGCTGGCGAGTTTTGTCCGACAGCTCGGCAGGAAACTCTGTGAGATCGACTCCAGCACAGTCCACCGAGCCTTCTGCCGTACAGCTGCACTCCAGCGGACATTCAAGAAGCTCAGATTTCGTCACCATTGTTGAGATGTTGCTCTCCTTTATTGGCTCTTCCTCCTCCTCTTCCTCTGGCTCAAGAGGGGCCTGGCAATGCACCAACACCAAGGCCAAGAGCAGCACACTCAGGGCCTGCAGGATGGAATGCTTGGGAAAGGCCATGCCGAGCTTTCCTGTTGCACAAGCACATGGAAAGAAAAGTTCAAAACATCAGGAGGATTTGGTTCCTGGAAATAGGGTCTTGTTTATAGTACAATCTTCTACTGTTGGCCATTAAAGTGGTGGTAGATTCTTTGTCGATCAATGTAACCTATTATTATGTTGAGTGAATGCACCATACATCACTGTGGCTCCCAAATAAATGTTGTGTTGGGATAAGCCATCTTCACTGTTTACTAACCTACTGTCTGTCAATAATGGCAGGAGAACTCTGTCTGGTTATTACTAACTCATCCCTACAAAGCAGATGGGCTATAATTGGCATGGTTGAAAACACACTTCTTGATGTTGTTAAAGCACCCCAAAATCCCAATTACTCGCTGTCGATTTCTAAAAGAAAATATTTAGCTCACAGCTACACAACTTACAGGGACACTTGAATTGAACAGAGCCAGAGTGTGTTTAGTGATTTTCCTATCATGACCCGTAAAAAGGCATTCTGTGAAAAATGCCTATTGACTTAGACGAGATGACAGGGGTTAATCTATTTGTCAGACACTGATTATTAAGCCATTCTATCATGCAGTGGGTTTGAAAAAAACAAATTACATTATCTAACTTCCAGCCTCTTTGCACATGGTCTACCATTTTGTTCCACGATGAAATGTCAGAAGAATTTTTGTGGATGATTAAGAAATGTGATGCAGACATTCATTTTCCCTTCAGGCTGAATTTCAATAGCTTTGGTATTCATCTGACTTTTCCTCATCAAGTTGACATTTAAGTTTGTCTAAACTTTGGTGTATAACCAAATACATGCAAGACTAATGGTATTCCTATTAGCTTAAAGCTGTAGAAACCGATTAAGCTAATACTATCGTTGCCTTTACACAGATCTGGGCATAGTGACGGGTGAGCCAGTGGCTACCGGCTAACGATGCTAGTCCGTGGGGCACACAAACAAGTACTAACATGAAGTAGGATACTAACATTGTAAGTAAACAAAGCACAGAGAAACTTGGATTACACCCACAACACATTATTTGCCTAAATGGGCCCTATTATTCCAATTTTCAGGTTCATAATTGTATTTAGAGGCTCTACTGGGACATGTCTCCATGCTTTAATGTTCAAAAAGCTCTTTATTTTTCTCATACTGCCTGTGCTGCGGCACCTCTTTTCACCCTCTGTCTGAAACCAGAGCCCAGCCTGCTCCGATTGGTTAGCTGGCCGGCTCTGTTGTGATTGGTCAACCGCTAACAGATGTGTTGGAAAGGTCCAATGTCTTTCCCGATCTTTTTCAATGTGTTTGAGCGCTAGCCAATGGAAGAGTGAGTGTTATCTATGTTACGGATGTAAACAAAGCAGTCTAATGGAACCATGGGATTATGTACGACATAATTTCATTTCAAATCTTTTTCAAAACAGCAACACTGGTCTATCTCTGCAGGGCATTTTATTTAATTGATGAAGGGTTTGCCATATTTACGTACCAGGCTAGCAACAAAAGCCGTCCGGTTCTCTGCCCTCTGCGTGTCTGAAGCTTCGAGCCTCAACAACTTGAAGGGCTAATTTAAAAAAAGAAAACAAGCATCAACAATCTCAGTGCATCTCGTCATTACACACACACACGCACGCACGCACGCGCGCGCACACACACACACACACACACACACACACACAACACACACACACACACACACACACACACATACACATACACACACACACACACACACAACAGTTTTGAAAACTGGTTCTGATTGTTGTCATTAATGAGGTACTTATCCCTAGTAGTTGTGTAAGCTAAAGGCCCTGACACACCAAGCAGTCACCAGAGAACTCGCCGATGCCGACGCCGACTGTTACGTCGGCGTGTTCTCCTGCGTCTTGGCCATGTGTCGCACTGGAACACACCGCAAAGACTTCAGCCGAGTACGTACGAACTGCGCATGCGTGAGTGGCAATAACTCTCCTTACCAGCAGGTGGCGGTAGGTGTATTCGTCATTAAAAACAAGAAACAACCGGAAGACAGAGAAGAAGAACAGTCTACATGATATAAACAAACAACAAATGGCGTGTGCGTTCCATTTTCACTCTCGTCCATCGAAAACATGTTTCGTGCGGTACTGGAGCTATCAGCCATTGGAGTGTTGCTTGTGGAAGACATTCTCAAGCAACCGTTTCGCTTCTCATGCACTGATTCGCTAGCTGAACAGCCAATCAGAGTGATTTCTTTGTCCGACTGCCTGTCTCGGCCATGAAAGGCCAAATAAGGCGTGTCACGGCCGATGGTGCAGAACACACCAAATTGAGTTTGGGCGACAGGGCATGCTTCGTCGTCCGACTAACGAAAACGGCCGATTTCGGCCTGGTGTGTCAGGGCCTTTAGGTACATGGTGGCCACATTGCCCCCTCCTCCCAAGTAGTGTGCTACTGTGTGAGTCAGCAGCCGTAAAACTTACTTTAGACACCTAGAGGTAAGTTCCTCGTGAATGAACTGAAGCCATTATGTATGTTCTTTTGCCAGATACACCAGACTCCATAAAGAAAAACTGTTATTTAAGCAATGTATAACTCTAGTCTACTGCCCCTCTATTTGTTAGTATGATTGTGTTATTGCATGTCTTTGGTGAATCCGAAGTTACCCTTTAAACCCACAACAAACATAGCTTGTACCTTAACCATTTGACCCAACACTTAAATGGTCTAGTCCATTAGAAACTAATTCCCCAGCACTTACAATGCTTTGGCTTATTTGAAGCGAATATATATGCACTATTATTTTTGTTCTGAGTTTATATCTTTTCGGTTTATTGCATTTATTGTTAGTCTTTGGATAAAAGCTTCACTAAAAGGAAATGTAATGTAATGTAAAAAAACTGAAACAAACAAAGTAATCAAGGCAGCGGTAGACCAATGGAGTCTGTTGGTTTTGGCGAAAGCATGGATGGACATGAGAGCTTTAGTTACTGTGGCCAAAGAGCTGTTTTAAGGGAAGGGAAAGCATTTCCACAGGCTGGTACTCAACTCTGTTTCTCCAATGCTAAAGCTTCAGGTATAGATCAAATGAAATAATAAGAATCTAGCCTTTTGTTTCTGTCAGACAAGCACAAGCACAATAGTGTTTATTTGAGGCTAGAGTTTAGGGAAAGCCAGGAAAAAGCCTGCTGTCCAGAAGTTTTTGATAGAACCTTTTAAGGGGGCAATCAAGTCATGCTCTCAAAGCAAAGGTCTAAAAGCCATCTATCAGAAGAGCTTGTTTGTTTGTCCACACAGAAAATCCACAAAGCTGAATGCTTACACTCACAACAAATACACACTAAAAGCTTTTGCACTTTACTGCACTTATTGTACATGTGAACGATGGCTAGAATATAAAACAGCAAAGCATCCAGGGGTCAGAGAACAGTTTAAAGCTGTCATAAAGTCAACAGCACTCTTATGCTACCTTGTAATTTAGAGGCTTCAAGAGCAAGTATTTATTAGCAGAGGCAGAGCATTTTAAAAGTCTTCATATCATTTGCATGGTCTTTCTCGGCTGAGCAGAGGTCGTAAGGTTGCTTTGCTAAAGTGGATCGTCTGGAATTCATATTGTCATGCACAGAAGAATGAAGCTGACACTTAACAGCCCAGTATAATATAGAAAGATGACATAACAGCAGCCATCCATAAAACATGCAGCGAAGAAGTCTGCCAAAGCAAAATTCTGCTGGTCTGCTACTTTACCCCGTCCGACCAAGGTTTGCTGAAGCGCACGGAAGTCTGACGTCCAGTCCAAACACAAGCTGTCCCATAGCAGGCGAGGAGTCACACAGCCACGGCAGATGCCCTCCAGATGTGAGGAGAGAGAGCGGGAGAGGGAAAGTTAAGAGAAAGACATGAAGGGGAACAGGCAGGAGTGAAAAAGGAAGGGAGTGAGTAAGCGAGAAAGCTTGGATCTGAAATCGAGCCAATACACAAATGATTCCCTTTTTTTCTCATATTTTCTTCCAGAGAATTTGTTTTTTTCTCCTTAGTGTAGCAGTTTCCGTTGAAGTATAATATGTTTCAACAAAAACTTTCCATTCCCACATGATTGAAGTGAGATTATAATCATAGACTTGGGATAGAAGGCCTGATCACTTCAAATAGATCTTGGGCTGAAAAAATGTGTTCCAATGTATAAAAAGAACATTATCCATAAAACATGTTACCTATTTGAAAAATCTGTACCTCTGTTTGTTGACATGTTCTGAGGTATCTTTTATTTGTGGAAGAGAGAATTTATTTTTATCATAGGAATAAATCAGAAAGAAGATGAGTTGCCTTCCAGATTGGGGCAGCATGTGATCTACAGTAATGTCCCACGTGTTTTTGAAGAAGACCTCTTCAACAAGCCCACCTCCCATTAGGAGCAGTGTTTGAACATCTGCTGCCATTATGATGCGTTAGCACAGCTCATTGAACTTCAACTTCACGTGCAAAATAGTTCTGGTATAATTTATCACCGTGGGCAATCAAAATGTGCTTTTCCTTTTGTCCGCTTTGTTTTCGCATTTTCACACCTCGTTTTTCATTTAACTTTGAATCAAAGGTAAGCGCTATATAAATACAATTTATTTATTTATTTATTTTTTTTAATTTCCAGCTTATTATTAAAACAATTTCAACAATATGCGAAGTGAGCAAAAATGAAAGCCCAGGTTCTCATCTCTACTATCATAGATTAACAGCGTTATGTTTGGAAGGCATTCAAATAAAACAGTTTAAAACAAAGTAAATGTATAAACATGGTTGGAATTTGGTTTTCTTATCAAGCTCCACTTTTGTGGAATCAGCTTCCAGTTTGTGTTCGGACGGCAGACACCCTATCCGTTTTTAAGAGTGCGCTTAAGACCTTCCTTTTTGATAAAGCTTATAGTTAGGGCTGATTAGATTTAGCCCCTAGTTTTGCTGATATAGGCTTAGTTTGTCGGGGGACATCTTACTTCTTCCTTCTCTCTGTCTATACCTGTGTACTCTCATGTTCCGATTAACCCAGCTTCCCCAAATGTCTTTCTTTTTGGTGTCTATATATGCCGGGATCCGGAGTCATGGATGATCCTGCGGTCCTGTGTCATGGATCGCGAGTCCTGGATCTTGAGTCGTGGCTATGGTCCTGGATCATAAGTCCTGGATGGATATCCTCGTGGATTCATCTTCCTATTATACACACATGCATTTCCAAACATTTGGACTACTTATGTTACAAATGTATTATCTTTTCAATTTACACACGGCATCTATTGCACGTCTGTCCGTCCTGGGAGAGGGATCCCTCCTCTGTTGCTCTCCCTGAGGTNGCATGCCATAAACCAAACCATCAACGCGCTCTCTAGACCACATATCATCCAACAGTTTGAATTCCGGTTTCCTTTGGACAATCCAACAACTACACAGGATCAAAGCCAACTTCATGGCAATTGCAGGTATGCCTGGGCGTGTCGGATGCTAATTGTGACGGGACCACATAAAAAATAACTTGCGCCATCAAAAGATGAGGACGTGTTCGTCAATAGAAAGAAAGTACATTCCATCAACAACGCAGATTGTTTTCATTCACATTGATAGGGGCGGCTTGAACGGCGGTATGGGCTGGTTATTGAAAGTGTTTAAGTCTGGAAATATTGTATTGAGAATAGGTTGCGGGGTGCTTTTAATTGCCTCCTTGATTTAATGCATTTACGTATTTATTGTTTGCTCCTCTCTCTTTAAACGTGCATGATACAAACACATTATCGTGGTCTGCACAAACTTGTCATCATGCGTGTATTTCTGCTAACTGCACTGTCCATAACTATTTGATAGAATACATTTCTAGCCTAAGCTATCCCTTGTTAGTGGGCTTCGTTTGTGGGATGTTGCGGATGAGTTTCACCTGAGAACCGCCTGCCCTGGAGCAACCAATCAACCGTACGACCGCTCTAAAACTCATGCACCGGAGAATCGACGTAATCCATAGCATACGGCGCGTCACTCTTAGTTCACTCTTAGTGATTTTATCCTTAGTATGAGTTAGGTCTCAGCGGCTTGTTGAATAACTTTTAAGAGAAAACTCTACGTAAAATGTTTGTAGCACGAGTTACGTGGACACTCCTAGCGGTAAGATAAATGCTTGTGTGAATACGGCCGCCAGGTCCTCTAGTAATTGTGTGCTCAAAGTGCACCAGATGAAGCATTTTACTGTAAAATGTTCAAAAAAAAAAATTCAATTCCAAACCTGTTTCATCATATCTGAATACATTTGAAGCCATTTTGACGTCTATTACCTATGTAATTAAGTTTCTGTTTTTGCAGGCATTTGTCCTTTTGTAGAGATTTTTATTTATTGTTTACACATAAAATGTGCCTAAAATTCACCTAGGGCAGCAAATGTCTAGAACCGGCCCTGGTACTAGGCCTCAAGAGCCTTCTTGGCTGACACATAGAAACTAAATTGGCGGGGCGTCACTTCGCACGCGCACACACTAAAAATTTCCCACGCCGCTCACATTATGCTGGCACGTGCCTTTAGCACCGCTGCTATGAACTCCATCCTATGGGGAAACACTGGAGTACAAGCAGCATCTTCCGTACCACCGCCTGCTTATAGGCAAATTGGTTTGAATCAAGTAGCCGATACCGATTTTTCCCGATCTTATGCAAGCATTAAGAGGAAAAATAGGTAAACAGATAACGGCTTGTCATGGCAACGCGATGATTCAGCTATCTTGGCGTTATTTTTTGGCCTTTTCACTGTTTCTGGGCAGTTTCTATTTCCTTTTTAAAAGTGTCCGGTGTTTCAGTGCCCGTTACCTGAGTGGCCCGCTGTGTACTCGTCTTGTTGTTGTTTTTGTTTTTTTCTAAGGTGGCGTATTAGATTGGTCGTGTTGAACGCTACAGCTCTGTTCTGTTAACACCACGCGGAACCTACACCTTGCAAACATTGCATCTGATGTTACTACTGCCCTTCGCTTCTTTCAACTTTATATATCCAAACTCCTGACATTTTCTCTGTCCCTGACTCCCGAGTGACCCAGCTTAAGTAGCCTCTCCGTTAGCTTACTGCTACTATTTAGACACTGCGCCCTGCCCACATCTGGTTGCCAGATTTGAGAGAAATAAGCAACCAGGTCAATGAAAACAACACATACGATGATGTTGTGTAATTTTTAAACCAAAACTAAGGCCTCAGGATGACTTTAAGACGTGAACATGGTCATTTTTGTTTTGGAACATTAAATAAAATAATAAAAATATTTTATTAAAAAAAAGACTTCACAGTTTGTACAGAATATCAGTATTACAATACGACACCCTCTGTCCTTAGACCCTCACATCGTACAATTTAAAAACTTCCGGAGAAAACCCACAGTTTAAAGGGAAAAATGGGAGAAACCTCAGGGAGAGCAACAGAGGAGGGATCCCTCTCCCAGGATGGACAGACGTGCAATAGATTCAGTGTGTAAATTGAAAAGATAATGCATTTGCAACATAGGTAGACCAAATGTTTGGAAATGCATGTGTCTGTAATAATAAGATGAATCCACGAGGATGTCTGCAATCTCTTGGGAGCCATCAGGGAAGTAGTATGGTGAGAGTCTGGTAGGACCGCAGAGAAAGGTTCAGCCACGACTTGAAGTCCAGGACTCAGATCCAGCACTCAGGATAGAGGATCCAGGACACATGACCACAGCAACAGGATTAGCCTCGACTCAGGATCCCGGCGTAGATATGGACACAAAAAAAGAGATCTGGGGGAAGCTGGGTTAATCGGAACATGAGAGTACACAGGTACAAAAAGACTGTTGCTCGCTACAACTCAGCTCTATCCCTCAGCCTTGACTCTCTAGCCCCCCTCAAAACCCTGACTGTCTCCTTCACCCGTTCGGCCACTTGGTTCACCACTGAACTCTGCGCCCTGAAGGCTTCTGGTCGTCGGCTAGAGAGACTCAAAAAAAGAACTGGCCTCACCGTCCACCGCGAAGCATACCAGGACCATGTAAAGGCCTACAAAGAAGCCCTCTCCCTGGCTAGGCCTTCGTACTACTCCGCCCTCATTGGCATCCAACAATCCCAACCAAGAATGCCTTTCTCAACCATAAACTGGCTTTTGACCCCCCATCCTCCAGGTGCTCTCGATCTCTGCTCGAAGTTTCTGGATTTCTTCCAGGCCAAAGTTGATTCCATCCATCAGCAGCTTCTGGTGCCCGGCCCCCCCCCCACTCCAACTCACTTTGGTTTACCATCAGTGACTGGCAAGCCTCCCCTCCGGCCCCCAGTTAACCAAGGTGTAACCTCAAGGCTCTGTGGCTGGACCCCTCCCTATTCACCATCACATGCTCCCACTTGGTCAAAATCATCCGCCACATGGTTCAAGCTTTCACTCTTATGCCCGATGACACACAGCTCTATTGTTCTGCACCAAACCGTCCACAANAGTGCAGGTATTAATAACCAACCAACCAATCAATCAATCAATCAATCAATCAATCAATCAATCAATCAATCAATCAATCAATCAATCAATCAATCAATGTTTATACATTGATTGATTGATTGATTGATTGATTGATTGATTGATTGATTGATTGATTGATTGATTGATTGATTGATTGGTTGGTTGGTTATTAATACCTGCACTATATAAACGATAAAAGTTGTATAATAAGAAAGTTAGATAAGAGGATCGATACCACTCTATAGATATGGTTAGTAGCGTTATTGTTAGCCTAGCTTAGCATGAAGACAGGAAACAAGAGGAAACTGCTAGCCAGCCTATGTCCAAAGTAAAAACTAGTTGTTAACTGTAATTTAATAATATCCATTTTGAAAAACTGGCATCTTGGTTTCAGTTGTTTATAACTGCAAGAAAACACCTTAAATAAGTATTTAAAATGGACT